GCATTTTTATAATTCTTAAGCACATTGAAGTTTGAGAACCACAGGCTAGTAAAAGCAAATAGTGTAAGTTAAGAATCAAGTGACGGTAGAAATTTTTAGAATCTGATTCTAACATGTATGTGGAAAGCCAAAGGAACTAAAACAGTCAAAGCAACTTTGGAAAAGAACACAGTTGTAAGATCATCTTACCTGGTTTTAAGACTAAGTAAAAAGTTGCGATAATCGAAACTGTGTTGTATTGGTGAAAATATAGATACAATAGTATGTATATATATCTATACAGATTTATATAGATCAGTGGAAAAAAACAGAGAATCCAGAAATAGACCCACAAAAATATGATCAATTGGGTTTTGATAAAAATGCAAATGCAATTCAGTGGAGAAGGGACAGTCTTTTCAACAAGGGATGCTAGAAAATTGGATACCCATAATCATAAAAATGAACCTTAAGCTTTACTTCAAACATTATACAAAAATTAACTCAAAATGGGCCATGGAACTATATATAGAATGTAGATCTATAGAACTTTTAGAAGAAAACACAGGAGAAAATCTTTGTGAGCTTGAGTTAGGCAAAGAGTTCTTAGATAGAACACCAAAAGCATGACCTGTAAAAGAAAAAACTTGGTAATGGGACTTGATCAAAATTTAAAAATTTTGCTTTACACAGACATCGTTAAGAGAATGAAAGGTATGTTACAAACTGGGGGAAAATATTCACACATCACATATTTGACAAAGGACTTTTATCCAAATGACATAAAGAATTCCAAAACTCAACAGTAAGTGAACAAACAACTCAATAAAAAAAAATAGACAAGTGATTTGAACAGATATTCCATCAAAGGAGGTAATATATGGATGGCAAGTAAATATTATTAGGGAAATGCAAATTAATACTATAATAAGATAATACTATACACTTATTAGAATATCTGGAACAAAACAAACTGATGATTTCAAGAGCTGATAAAGATGTGGAGTGCCTGGAACTCTTATACATTGCTGATAAGAGTACAAAATGGTACAGCTACTTGAGAAGAAACTTTGGCAGTTTATCATATGCATTTATCATAGCACCCAGCAAACCTATTCTTAGGTATTTATCCAAAAGAAATGAAAATATAGGTTCACACAAAAAATTGTATGCAAACATATACAACAGTTTTATTTATAATTGTCAAAGATTGGAAATAACCCAGATGTCCTTCAGCTGGTGAATGGATAGACAAACAGTTGTACATCCACATAATGGAAATTACTACTCAGCACTAAAGGATGAATTATTGATACATTCACCAAAATGGATAACTCTCAAATGTATTTTTCTAAGTGAAACAAGCAGATCCAAAGGCTACATACTGTATGATTCCCTTTATATGACATTCAAGAAAGAGCAAAACTATAGGGTTAAATAACTGACCAGTGATTACCAGCGACTAAGGGAAAGGGAAGGTTGTTTTTACTACAGAGGGGTAGTGTGTATGAAAGATTATTTTTTTAAGGGCAATGAAACTGTTCTGTATGTTAATTGTGGTGGTAGTATGCAGTTCTGTGTGTTTGTCGTGACTCAGAAAAATGCCAAAAAAACTGTGAATTTTATTTATGTGAATAATGAAAAAGAATTAGTCAAGACATATCTGATTTAAAATTGCCAACAAATCCAAGCCAATATTTATTGAATACCTAATATGAGCAGGACCCAGACCAGTGCTATAAGGAAAACAAAACCTCATAAAAAGCTCCCTCTCTCTGTAGGCGCCAGTCCACTGGAAGACACAAACTGGTGCATAAGTAACTGCCATGGGGCAGTGGGGGATATGTGCCCAACAAAGGCACAAAAAAGGTGTAAGTGGAGAACATTAGATTCTTACAAGAACTGTAAGCTTGGAGAACTGTAAGGCTGAGTCACAGCAGAAATAAATCAGATCGTGCACTGACTAAAAATCAGATGGGGATAAGTTATGAGCATGGAAAAATGTGATTATTGATCAGGAAGGGTAAGGCAATAAAAGCAAGCTGCAAATGTAATGAGATTGAATCAATGCATGTAATACTATTTTTAAAAAGGTAAGTCAAATATTGAGTACTAATTCCTCCCAAATGAAGGGAAATGGTGAGATACAGGGTATGAAGTGGCGGTATGAAGTTGTGTTGACTTTAGAATCCACGAGGAATTCCTTTATTTCTTCCTCCCCCATAAAAATGGTTCCCTCCTCTGAGAACAGCTGTTGGAAGAAAAGGTAAGTCTTTGATAAATCAAATATAAAATTTATTATCAGGAAAGACCTCTGTTCCTCCTGGGTGTGAGGAAGTCATCGGGTCGATAGATCTTAAAGAAGAGGTTGGCATTTACAAGGAAGAAAATTAAAATTCCCCCCTTATAGCATCACGTGTCTTGGATAGTGGTTGTCAAAGCACAGGCCCAAGACTGTCTACAAAGCTTCATTTGTGAACTTTTTAGATATACAGATTCTAAGGCTTTAAGCCAAACCTACTGAATCAGAAACTTTGGGGACACAGCAGGCTGTGTTTCAGCAAAGCTTCCGTGTGATTCTCACCAACATTTGAGAAGTTTGAGTTTGAGAAGATGTCAAAACTGAATGCTGTGCTGAACTATTCTGACCAGCTGAAGCAGAAAATGGAGTATCAACTTTTGGGACCCCTTCTTCAGACCTTAACTGGGCCTAAATAAAGACTCCAGATTGGTGAACATGGGATTTGTTTTAAACAATCATCTAAGACTTCTGGTCTGGTTCCATTGTATCTGGAGCATTAGTTTTCAAATAATTATTATAACCACCTTAGATCTCATCTACCTTTCTAAAGCACTTGCAAAATTTTGACTTCTCCCCCTCAGCAAACTAGTTAGTGACTTTTTTTTTTTAAACCGATGAGTGTTTTCTTGTCAGGCAAATAAGTAAACTCTGAACTCTGCTTTTTTTTTTTTTACTGTTAAAGCTCTGGTGGTCTTTGTTTTATTCTTTTACAGAGAACAGGCAGTCAGTGACTCTAGGCTGTAAGTTTACTTTTTCATCCCTGTATTAGAATTGAAAGACCTATATTCTAATCCTCATGCTAACCCAAATTGTGGAAGGCCTTGGGCAAACCACTGAACATCTCTGAGAGTCAGTTTTCTCATCGTGTAAAGAGCAAGGAGATAATTATTTCTACCCACCTCAATCAACATAATGCCGTGAAGCTGCTTAATAAAGGGGAACATGGAATGGATACACATGTAAGCATTATTATAATTTTGTGAGCCTTTCCTGGTACCCTCAGTCTTTGTCCCTTGTCGTCAGAGCCCTGTAGGGAAAGCCTGCAGCCTGGGCATGTTCAGGCTCCTCTGGAGGCAGGGCAACCATCATTATTTTTGGAATTACTTTGGGTGACTGGAGTAGCAGCAAAGTATTCTAGCCTAAGGGGTCATGGAAAAACATACATGATTATAGGAATACATTATAGACTTTCCTTCAGAACTTGGAAATGGCATTACAAATTGGTATGCGGTTTACAATACAAAATGCTCTTCTAATCTTTGGAATGAGCAATTGGCTTAAAGTCAATCTTCTGAGCCTACCCAAAAAGTGATCCAACAAAAGTGTTCTGCATGCCAAGCACCTTATTGCCTGACATTGACAAATAAGGGTACAGCTGATGTCAGTGTCTAGCAGTCCTAGGACATAAACTGTTGCTTCTGGTAAATAGGTGGTAATTTATGTTGAATCATTTGCTTAAAGACCAAATCAGTCCCTTGTAGTGTGTGCAGCATTACTGAAGACTAAAACGTCAATGTTTTTCTGCTTAAATAGCATCCTGATCCAAGGCAATTATTACTGTAATGTACCTGGCCTAGGAATGATCCTGACACTTTCCCATGGCCTTTAGGCATAAGAAGATTTTTCTAAGGCATGCTAACATTGAAAAGAAAGTAGATCCCTAGGCCTGGCTTAAAAGAGGCAAGCACAGAATAAGTTTAATGGAGAAGGGATGGTAACATCTTTTATTTAGCACTTACTGGGTACCAGGTAATGCACTAAATGTTACACTAACTAGTAAGGTAAGTTTATTCCTCTCATTTTAACAGAATAGGACACTGTGGCTCAGAATAGTTAGGTGGCTTCCACAGAGTCACACAGCATACAGATTACAACACAGCTGAGATTCAAATTCAGTAAGTGGTCTTCTATCCAGACAGTTGCAGGGGCCCCTGTGCTATGTAACTTCCCTGCGTCCACGCAGATCCTCTCCGTATGCTTCTCCATCTTACTCTGCTCCTACCCTGCCTCAGTTTGTCTTCTAGTTTCCCGTTGTGTTGGCCACTACTGGCAGGAGGTGAGAAAAAGGAGGAGAGTGAGGCCAAGGCTGCTATGCTCCCCTCTCCAGCTTCCTTCTGCTCCACCTACCAGAAGTTCTAGCTCCTCTCCCCACAGGATGCCTCCTCTGGGTTTTGATGATCACTCCCTCCTCTGAGAACCCTACGCTCTGGTCACATTTTCTCAAATCTCCCAGTTGCAGTGTGTCACATATGTGCAGTAAACTTCAGATCATAAGCCTGTAAGACATGAAGGCTTGAAATGACTGGCTTGCCATTTTGTTTTGTTGTTGGTCCTTATGCAAATGAAGCTGTTCAATAATGGACACATTCTGCTTATCCTACACAGTGTTCTATCTGAACAGCTTCTGGTTAAACATTTAGAGAGTATCTCTATCTCTGGCTCCAGCTCACTGAGGAAAAAATAAAGGTTTTTTTTTTATGAGCAAAAGCATCTCATTGAGCTATATATGGTTTCTGAATGGTAACATTCAGAGTTTGGTGAAAAATAATAACAGAACTTTACACTGGTACAAAGCTCTATAGATTTACATTTATTACTTTTTATTTAAGATTATTTAGAAGCTAGTTGCATGTCTTGAAAAAATAGCTGAACATGTAGCTATAGTAAAGTTAGTTTTTTAAAAGACGTGTAATGATTTGAATTCTAATCAGGACACGTAATAGCTGCTGAAGGTCTTGCCTTTGAACAATTTTCATTAAGCTAATGAAACTGGTCTATTTTGGCAGTGCTAAGTAACCCCTGGTTTCTGAGTGAAATCATTACCCATGACTTCAGGAAATAGAAACAGACTATTAAACAGGTCAGATACAATGTGTATTTTTACATATGTTAATGCTAAAGGTACAAATAAAACCTTTGGTCATCTGCAGTTGTAATAGTCCTAACATTTTTAAAGGTATCATTCTTAAAAAGTCTAATATTATGCATGGATAAACAGTAATTTTATAAAAATTGGTTTCATCATATTTTTGTGCTTGAAATGACAAGGTATTTTGGAATTATCATCTTACCTGAAGGTAGTTATTCTATTATTAGATAATTGTAGAACTTAACACAGAAAGAAAGAAATGGGTAGTATTTTAAAATATCTTTCTATAATTATGAAGTGTCACTTTTAGTCCCTAGCAATATGTACCTTAAGGTCTACTTTGTCTGATATTAATTTACCTACATCAAATTTACTTTGATTAGTGTTTGTGTAGTATTTCTTGCCTTCTTTTGGATATGAAAACATTTTCATTTGTCCATTTTTCTTCTTTATTTGCTTTTTAGTTATACATTTTTAGATAATTTTTTTCGTGGTTGCCCGAGAGATCATGGTATGCATCCTGGATGTGTTACAGTCTACCTCAAATGAGTACCTCTGATTTTACCACTTCCTAATAAGGCAGGAACTTTTGCAACAGTTTAACTGCATCACCCTCCCATAGTTTGTGCTATTGCTATTATGCATTTTACTTTTTAAGATGTCTTTACCTCCAACTTCTCAGAGAAAATGTAGCTAGTAGGCGGCTTCTGACTGCTCACTCACAGTTATGTCTTCCATCCTGTTTTAAACAAAGACATCCCTCCTTCCCTCCTCGAAGGAGCTATTGCTTCCTATACTCTGGATCCCATCTCCTCTCTTCTCAAGAATACCCATAAATTATTATCCCTCTTCCTTTCATCTTCCATTTATCTTCTCCAAGGGCTCCTACACTTCAGCATGTAACATGGAAAGACTCTATCTTATCTCAAATATTGCAAACCACAGGTAGTCAGGGTGATCTAACCACTTTAACAATGTTTAGATCTCTGGGATTTAACACAAACATTTTTATTTCTTTTCTCATGCAAAGTCCAGTGTAGGTGTTCTTGGTTAGGTGGCTCTTCTGGGCACCTTTTCTCTGACTCAGGAATCCAGGTTCTTTCCATCTGTGACACAGCCATCTTCAGCATGAGGCTTCCAGGATCGCTGTGGAAAGGGATATGGCATGGGGTAGGTTCACCTAACCACCTTGGTTCAGAATGACGTGCACACTTTTACTCACATTCCTTTAGCCACAGCTGGTCACATGACTCCGCTTGGAGAGAGATGGAAAACGTCAACCTCTGTGGAGCAAATGCTCTCCAGCATGGTCTATATTATAGAAGGGGATCATGAATCTTCAGTGGTCAGCCAGCTATTTCAGCTACATCTCTTACCTCTGGTCTTAGCACATATCCATCCACATGAACTCCATCATGATCTTTCCTAATACAGATATGACTGTGTTGCTTCCCCAGGTAGCACCCACCAGTGACTGCCCACTGCCAACTGAGTGAATCCAAACCTTTCATCAAGGCTTTCAAGACCATTTAGGATCTAACCCTTCCAGCTCTATCTCCCATGAGGTCTTGTCTTAGGTGTCAGTCCCATCAAATTGACTCCAGTTCCTAGAAGCTATAATATTGTTACTTGCCTCTGTACATTAGCACATGTTCTTCCATCTTCCTGAAATGTCCTTCTTCGTCATGTCTAGTTAACAAATTTTATGTCCTTCAAAACTCAGTAGAAACATCTTCTTCTGTGAACCCCCTTTACAGCCCTCCTTCTTAAGTAGAGTTGATCATTTTGTTCTTCCACCACTGAGCTTTAATCAAACCTCCACAGTAGCATACCTATTACATTGAGTTGAAACTGTATTTTTTCATACCTGTCCCTCCTTTTGAACACCATGAACTCCTTGAGAACTGTGACCATGACTTGCTATCTTAGTATCTCTAATGCCTAATGCAGTGTCTGCCACATTATGGATGCTTAATAAATGTTAATATAATGAAAAATTAACTGAATGAATAAATGAATAAATGAGTGGTCAGCTTGGGCTACAGAGAACAAAATAACTAAATAAATTTAAACTACATCCTGTGCTAAATTTCATTCATTCATCATTATTTAATGAAAACTCTTGTAGAAAATTATGAACTTGTGCTGTACTTACGGTATCTTCTTCTAGTGAAGAAGAAAGGAAGGCATTGAAGCCTTACAGAAATACACTAACATAAATCCTTGATTTGGTGAGGGAAGCTTCTTCACATCCAATCAACAGACTTACTGAAAGTAACGCAAGAGTGCGCTGACGCTACAAGGAGGTTAAAGTGATAGATTCGTACTGATGCAGAAATAATAGCGAGAGTTTCAACTCTAGGAAGTCAAAGGGCAAAGACAGCATTGATGAGGACTGAGGACTGAGAATTTGAGTGACTGAGACAAAAAGCTTCAGAAAACATTATTTCAGCCTGTAATGTAATAATGTAAGGTGCAAAGGGGCAAGCACACCTCCCCAAGGTCGTCCATGAAAAAAACAACTAAACTATAGCTAATATAGGTTTTGAATTCATTGTATTTCATTAATAATTCTTTGAAAATCATTGTCTATGTTATAGATATGGTCATTTAATTAACTAGACCATTCAGTTAATCAGCTCATCACTCCATCCCTGACCAGTCTATATGAGAGTCACTTGTATTCAAAAACAAAAACAAACAAACAAACAAACAAAAACCCCACATGCTCTCATGCCTGTGTTATCTCTTCTGAACCATAATCAATTACTGTCATCATTTGGGTGGTCTCCGGCTTGTTCTAGGCTGGAACTTTGCCACCCAAGGTGGGCGTTGGGTTCAGTGAGGAGCTGGAGTAAGGCAAGAATATTCTTTATTAGACTGAGATAAGAATCAAGAACACTATTGGGATGGATGCAGAGCAGGAAAATAGTCTGAATCAGTCTTAGCCCTCATTTCTGGTATCACTTTTGTCAGGATGAAGCAAGAGTGGGAAGTCTCCTTCTCATGAGTTCGGAGACCAGGGACATAAGGTCACCTTCTGAGTGGAACTAGTAAAATTAGCAGACAATGGATGTAATAATTATCTGTGGGAGTAAAGCAAAAGTCTGTCTGAAATACGTGGGCTCACAAAACTCTGATCAAAGTAGACGATGTGGGAGTGATCAGAGGAAAGCAGGACCAGAATGTGAGCATCATTTAGTAGAAGATATTTAGTCAATTGAATTGTACATTGCCTGGAGGAAGACTGTGAAAAGGTGGTGGGGATGTGGACACAGGGGAGTGGTCAGCTTGGGCTGCAGAAAAGAAAAACCCAAGGAATCTTAAGTTGGCAGGGAGGGCCCGAGCATTGTGCAGAGCAGAGCCTGCCCTTTGCGGCTGCAGGAGAAGCATGCTCTGCTGTGCTACAGGACTGCCTCTTCTGATCTCTCTTCACTACCCTGTGTGCCCTTTGCTCAGCATTTGTGTTCATTCTGCTCTGAGACTGGCTGCCCTGGGCAGTGGACAGAAGCTTTTTAGTCTATGAGATGTGTCTCTCAGTATAAATGTGTAAGTTGGCCACGAGTAACCTCATGGATTTGATTGGTTTAAGTGACCCTGGATTCTGAAAACTTCTGGGATCCTGATGAGGATAAATGCAGAAATTTGGGAAGTGGTCATTTTCTCCAGGGGACACTGCCCATGAGACCCCTTGGTAGGAGCTACAGCCTCTCCTGGGAATGCACCGACCTCATCGTCAGCCCCTTAATGCTTTCAGCAGATGATTCCACAGTATCCACTTAAGCCAAGGATTCTTAACCCGGTCAGACCCACTGACCTATTTTTAAATGAAGGTTTTGTGAGATCCCATTTACTATTCTGAAAGGAAGTTTACAAATAATAATTCTACATATTTTTTAAAAGTCAATATAGTGTCCTAACTATAAAAATAAAAAATACTGACAGAAAAGGAATAATTTGTTATAAAATAGTATGTATTAGAGTATATTGTTTGGGGATGAGTAACCAGAAGCCAGATGAAAGCAGCCAGTTGCTTTGAGATCAGAGTGAATGCAGCAGAGACAGGTGGGACAGCACAATCACTCTATGACTGAGAAAAACTCAACTAGCAGGAAGAAGGGACAAGGATGGATGAAAGTTGGGTAGAGTATCTAGTTTTAGAAGGAGAAGTAGTAGAGTTCCAGACAGGACAGTAAATCAGAATTTAGGAGGGGAAAGCAGGGTGACAGCTCACCTCTGGAACTTGGGCCAACACAGAAAGAACTGTGTCTGTGGGGCCGGCCACACAGGCATCTGGGTTTATTCTTGGTACTGGATATCCCAGATCTGCCTGAAAGAGAAGAATGTGGGCTCAGCACAGGAGTCTGAAAGTAGTGGCTTGGTTCCTAGAACTTGGGTCTGGGAATGTGACTTATTTCCAAGCCCCTTCTGCATAGGGCTAGCCAGAAATGACCCGGGACTGGGCATGGGCTAAGGTCTCAGCAGCAGCAGCTGAGAAGGAAGCAAAGGCAGGGGACACCAACAGCTTATGAAAGCCATACATATGACTGAAGAGGGGATGTCTGTATGACCCCATTTGATTTTCTTAGAGTGTTTTTGCCCCCCATGTAGACAGGACTAGTCAACTCATTCTTCAAACAAAAATACATGTTCAAAAGAATAAGATTTGGGTATTCAAGAACCATTCCTCACCCCACCTCCACATTGTTTCTCTGTTGGTTTCCAGAGAGTGGACACAGAACAGCTGCCGGGACTCAGCTTTGGAGTCCATTTCCAAAAGAGGGCTCATGAAGGCGTGGCTGAAATCGAGGTAATGCCTATGTTGAATACCACCATTTACAAGAGTAGGTACATAATTTTTGCCAGGAACCCAGACTAAGGCCAGCCTATAACCCATGCTTGTGACTCAGGAACTGAACAACATTCACACAAACATGATATTCCCTGAAGACCATTTCAACAGGATGATGCCTCATCTCCTGTGACTGCTCCCAAAGTCCCATTCAAAACAATTACCTAATCTCTGCTCAGGATTTAAATTACCTTATGTTTTTACTTGATTGGCTTGAGCAGTCTCCTTTGTGCATACAGTTCTTGGAAAATAAAAGAAAAAAGATGCTCTTATTTCAATTACCACCCTTTCAGAGGTCCTATTACTTCATCTCTCCACATTCATTATATTGCATGGTCATAGAACAAGTTCAGCTTTATAGTCCTTGATGGAATGTATTAGCAAAATTGAGTCTTAAAGAAGAGAGAGAAATAAAAGCATTCCATGCATGAAAAAAGATTTTCCATTTTAGCCTGTAAAGAGAGGGAAGGGACTAAGAAATTATCTGCTACTGCAAAATAATCAAGGAGATAGATGACATGTTTTCTTCTTCCAGAAGCTTTTATTCAATCATGCTTAAGGTATTGCTGAATTACACACACAAGGTCCCAACTTATTTTGCTGACCTCTCCCTTGCTCTCTGACATCCTCTGTCCCTCCACTTTCCCACTTTCTCCTGCTGTCTCTTCTCTCCCTATCTACACCATTCTGCAAGCCTATGTTGGCACTTAGCTTTTGAGCACGGGCCTGGGTAGATTTGAGGGCTGCTTACCTTTTGATTGTTCCCTCAGTGCCACCAACTGAGGATTTGATCCCCTGGTAGTTTAAGATCTCAGAGGCCACCAGAAATAACTCTGGACAAGGTCCTCATGAAAAGTAATGGCATCTATACGTAGCAAATATATTTCCTTCTGCTTTTTCCTATGTGAATGTGTCCTTAGGATTTTCTTCCTGTGTGTACCTCAGTTTTAAAACCTAAACCGACTTCCCTGTTCAGAAACCTGCTGCCCACAAAATCAAGTCCAAATTTGTAACATAGTGCTCAAGGTCCTCTATGATTTGCCCCCAACATATCTTTCCAAGAAATCAGCCCCCGCAGCCACAGTGAGAGAAGCAGTGGCTGAATGTGTAGCCTCTGGGCTCAAATCCCAGCTCAGTCACAAGCTGTGTTGCAGGTAAGTTACTTAAACTTCTCTATGCCTCAGTTTCCTCAGCTGTAAAAATATGAAAATAACAGCAATAATTTGAATTGCATGAGAATCAAGATAATTAATAAGTGTTAGCTGCTGAGAGTAGTTTCTGATACATGATAACCATCATCTGCCACTATAATTTTTATTATTCATTACCCTCAACGCACTTGGATTTTTCTATTTTTGTACCTTTTTTCACAATTACCAATTCTGGAATGCTCTTTCCCTCTCTCCACCCCTTTAAATTCTTCCCATCCTTTAAAGACCTGATCATACTTTTCTTTTTCTACAGACTTCTCTGGACTGTTCATTTCACAGTATTCTTTTCTTCTGTATACCAATACACAAATTGTCTATTCTAATGATTTTACAAATGACCCATTGTTGCTGCATGGCACTTCCTGTATTGCTGCCTTGTGATATGAACTTCAAGTGTAATTTCACCTGGTCTCCCCAAGTTAGCCCATAAGTCCTTTGAAGGCAGGGAATCAAGCTTCCTTTGTATAGAGCTCAGCACCTAATACATTAGCTTGCCAATAGTAGCTCAACAAATATCTGTTAATTTGACTTGATTTGATCCACAGGTTGAATGCAAGTGTGCTGGATGCTTTTGGAAGTGGTGAGCTAAAGAGAGTATAGAAGAGCTGGAATCTTGGGTTATTTGCTTGTAAGACATTATGAAGGGTCTCTGCAGGCGCTCCACCTCCACCTTGCACTTGACGGCATCACCACCCTGGCTCCAGGAGGAGGCACCAGGACTGCCTGATGGGTGGAGAGTCACTAGCATGAGATCAGGTGCCATGTCTGACTGGAGGGACAGGACTGGCAGCCAGAAAGGCTTCTTAGACAGGCAGTTTGGTGGCCGCAGGGCCACAGGGAGGCAGGGAGAGAGTCTTAGTACTGGCTCTAACATAAAAAGGTCTCCAAAAGAACAGTTGCTCCCGCAAAGAAGTTTTACAAATTCAGACCATCCTTCCTCGGTTGTTCAGAGTTGCTCTTGAATGGAAACCTTTGGTATCTAAAGGCCCCAGAGTCAGGTCAGACAGGAGGAGAGCTAGTATGGGATTGCATCAAGACCTCCAGTCTCTGGTACAGATTCTTCCACTAACTTCCTGGGCGGCCTTGGACACACATGGCATTTGCCATACTTCTAAGTTTCCCCATTTGTTATTCAGGGTGTTGGATGAATACATGACCTCTAGGGTCCCTGCTGTCTCTAATATTCTGTAGCTCTAGGATTTCTCTCATAGTGGAGTCACTGGCATCTGCAAGGGAACAGGCAGAGACCACCTTTGATTGGAATTCAGATTCTTCTTCTGGCCAGTGGAGCTCAACTGAGTTAGTCCCTTGGGTATGGGATGGTCTCATGTATAGGGAGTAGTCCAGCTTACAACAGTCTTGGAATCCTTCTCCTTCTCCACCAAGCCTGGGAAAGTAAGGACTTGGGACATAGGATAATAAAGAGATGGCAGGAGGATAATGGAGCAAAGGTCTTAACTGGAGCCATCTGTGTTTATCTAGTCGATTGTCCTTGCCCCTGGATCATCACTGAGTATTCCCTTCTTGCAGCCCTGATGAAAGAATTGAAGTCACAGTTGCTGATGAGGCTAGAGGTCTAGAGAGATGAAGCAAGATTGCACCAAGGCTCAGCGCTAACTGTACACAAGAAGCCAGAGAGCATACACAGGCCTCGGACTCGGGCTCAGCGTCACTGGCCTGCATTCAGCAGCCTGCCCGCCCCTCCCACTGCCAGGAGGCCCTCTCTCCTTCCAGTTGCCCAGATGTCACTGGCAGTGGCTTTCCCCGAGGCCCCTGCCCCTTCTGCTTCACCTCTCCCTCTCAGCTTAAGCTCTAGGTAGCCCCTCCCATGACCTTAACTCTCCCCACCTGAGGCAGCTAGTCTGCTTTCTTTACTTACACCAGGCTCCTAGGGCATGAATCACTGAGGCCACATCTCTGTGTGCCCATCAGCCCATCTTATGTGCCTGAGAAATCATGCTGAGGAGGCTATGGCTGCCAGCACCATGGGAAACCATGCTGTGTTCTAGGATTTGGGGAATAGTTTGGCAGGCAGATGACCATCTAGGGAAGAACATGTACAAGGATACCAATTGTCAAAGGACAAGTGGTCAAACATGGAAATGGACACCTGTCCCACTTACTGATTTCATATTCTTACGTTGCTTTCCTCTTCTTAGCAGTGCAACAGCCTCTGCTAAGGGTTTGGCTCTGTGACACTTCCTGGGGGGCAGAGGAAGGGAGGAGAAAACACAGGGCCTGGACCTCCAATCCGGTCAGAGAAGCAAGGTACACACCCATTTGCAAGAGTTCAAAAGGAGGGCAGAGAGTGGGGAATTTTACCTGGGGTCCATGTTAAGCTTAAGCATCTGAAAACTCCAAGTTATTTTTTGGAGATCTGATCCATAATTATGTGACTTCAAAGGCACACTGGACCCACAAAAGGATGAAGTACTGAGCTGGTTAGAAGATCTGGGCCGCTATCTGTGTGATGACACATCATCTAGCCTAACCTTCCTGATTCTCAGTTTCTTAATCTCTAAAATGGGGGAAATTTTCTGTCCTACCTCATAGTGTGGTTGTGAGGATCAAATGACCCAAGTGTGTGAAAGTATCATTAATACTTAAAACCAAAACACAAGGTCATACAGAATGTCAGAACATACTGTTTATTGGAAACTTAGAGATGTTTACGTGAATATTTTTCTTTTGCAGACAATGGAATTGAGATCCAGAGAGGACAGTGGCCCAGGGACAAACAGCTAATCTGGGACACAGCCAAAACCAGAGGACAGCTTCTTCAGGGCTCTGCCCTGGAACCACAGGGAGAGCTGGCAGCCAGTGTCCAGCACAGCTCTCCACCTCTGGGAGGCTTGAGCTGTTTGCAGCAGGCAGAGCCTCCTGGTCCCTCAGCCTCAAAGAACACACTACCTGGCTAAACCTGGATGTATTTACCTCCTTACTCTACTCTCTCCAACCTCCATTTGCATTCCTTGTCATGCAGAGGAAATCCCTATGAAAATGGTTTCCAGGAGGAACCTGAATCTCAAGTTACATCACCACCAAATAATTGATGCCCTGCTGCAAGAGACCCAGAGTTAAGCTGGGGCAGCTTGTATGGAAAAGTGAGAGGCCTGCCAGCCAATCCAAATATTGCAGACAGAATTTTTGTGAACAAGGGCTTTCTAAAAAACAATTACGAAAATGACTCACATCTTTGCAAGAACAGATCTAGGCACAACTTTATGAAACAAATGACACAGAGGCAGTGGGATAGAAGGCGCCCTGGCACGTCGTGAGAGGTGGGTCAGTGGGGACTGTGTTCTTCTATTTGCCCATTTCTTTTCAGCTGCTGATGAAGGCCTCTAATTTTGTAAGTTATTTTCTTCCCCAATCTCAAAGAGAATGTGGGGAGCTAGGTCATCCAGGTCAGGCCTCTGTCTCCACTAGAGATGGTCCCTGCAGAACAGCAGCGCACCGTAACTGCCTCTAGAAGAGAGTGCCCAGCTATTCTCTGTGACCCATTCGAGTGTTTAACTGTTGTCAGATCATGAAAAGCAGGCCTCACGGGAACCTTAAGACACCACCTTGGTAGTTTATTTTCTCCAGTGCTGACTGATTAGAGGTGGGGAATAGCCACTCACCACGTTTTCCACTTAACAGTATGCTTTTAAATACTTGATCATAATGGATCCCGTTCACCTACACTTATTTAGACCTACTAATTTAAAAACATTTCATGCCCTCACTAACTTGATTACAATCTCTGCTAACCATTGTAGCAGTCTGCTGCCTGATCCCCAGCTCGCCCTCCCCAAGAACTCCCCTCTGTGCTCCCCTCCCTTGCTAGGCAGCCCCCTCTTCCCTTCCTGAGGATCTTTCTTTCTGCAGTTCACCAATACATGCACAGCTGTATGAGCACCAAGTGTTTAATTTGGGAACAGTGTCTGTGGGAAGGAATGCTTTGTTAGTTTCTAAAGTAATGCAAAGCTTAATTTAGACAGTCATGTAACAATTCTTCTGGTTTTGGAAGTCACGGAGATTATGGATTGCACTGCAGAGGCCACCTGCCTGCTGGTGTTGGCATTCTGCGGCAGTGTCCTATTTATTCCCCTTCAGAGACCCAGTGCCTCAGTCCAGGAAAAGCATTTGCTCCCTGATGATGGGGCCTGGAATCTGCTTCTCGGAACACACATGATTAGGATCTAAAAAATGAGAACCTGAGTAGAACAGGATGTATTTGGAGGCAGGGACCACAACATGTAGAAATGAGGACACGTCATCACCACCACCATAGCCGCAGTGCTGGGCTGGAACTGAGACAGCCCCCTGATCGCACTGCCCTGGGGCCACCAGGCTGCTGCTACACTCAGCGCCCTCACCTGGGCTCTGTGTGCTCCAGGCAAAGAGGCCTTCCAGCTGATGCTAGGGGTGCTTCTTGACTGTCATGGGATATTCTGGAAGCTTTAAATACATGCATAGTTGCATATTTTGATTCCCGAAGGCCAAAAAGCCCAGAAAAAGAATTTCAACTCTGTTCTCACAAGGGGTCAGATCCACACAGACTGTGTGATGAGCTAGAGGCCCCCAGGGGTCAGTGTGGAGAGAAACCTGATGAGGAAGATCCGAGGGAAAGTCACCATGAGTAAAGATACCCTGGCAGAGATGACCAGATCCAGTCAGCACCAGAACGCTGGACTGCAAGAGATCCAGGTGGACGCAAGGCCAGGTCGCTCCATTTCTCCCCATTCCATTCCAAGAGCTCCAGTGTGCTCTGGAAATGAAGTGGTTGGGTTTTACTTAAGAAACAAAAAATTGTGTCCCAGTGACAATAGAGGTACAACTATTCTGGTGTGGGCATCGCCTCTAAAAGCCCTGGGAGGCCTTGTTCTGCTGGTCAGGGAGGGACTGGGTAGCAGCCTCACAGCAACCAGCCGGGAGCAGAGAGACTGTGGGATGGTAGGGGCAGCAGGCTCAGGGGACGGGGAAGGGAGAACGAATACCAAAGACGTGACTGCACAGCTAAATGGTGGTAGAATTAGCCACATTTTTCTGTACAGCATATTCTTTTTATTTTAAGTGCCAGATCTCCAAATCTTTCAGAGCTTAGCCTGTGGCTGGGTTCATCTCTATTCATTTTTCATTAACATTTACTCATGGGCCTAGGTTAATACAGAGAAATAACAAGAAAGAAGCATAGGCAGAAACACAGATTCAGGGAAAACCAGAATTACATAAAATATACACACAAAGAATAGAAAGCTTGAGAAAAGGGATTAGTGGTAGAACACAGAGAAAGCAGTTTGGGAGAGACAGAGAGACCCGATAAGAGAGCGTTCTGCGAGATGCTAGCTGGGTCCTCTAGGATGAAGATCAGGGCGCCTTGGATTGAGCCTCTCTGAGTTCAGAACCTAAGAGAACCCAGGTTCATTGTTTTGTTTGTCCGGAGGTTTTGGCTCCTGGCAACCTGGAGCTGGAGTTCTGACACACTGCCTGAGCTCCCCCTGCTGGCCACTCTGCAGAACTTCACCATCTGGGTTCAAAGTGGCATCAGATTACGTAAGTCTTCTCGAGTTTTACCCGCCCTTTTTCTTTTCTTTCCTTCTCCTCCATTCCCGACCCCTTCTTTTGTATTTCCCACGTCCCTGGTTTCTCCGAAGTCTGCTGTCTATAATGCTGGGGCTTAAATACCCTGATTGCCACAGTCCCAACGCCAGTGAGGGCAGTCCTGAGAGACGTCCTAATGAGGCTGCATGCCGGAGGCTGGCTGAGCAAACACTGAACACATGCCTCAGAGTGCTGTGGGGAGGCCTGGAGGGAGCTCATTTGGCCTTCAGTCTTCTTGCCTCCAAAGTGACTGCTAGAATTAAACTGGTTTTCTGGGGTTGGGGTGACCCACCCAGCCAGCCTGGGAAGAGTCTGTCACAGCAACAGTGATGGCACGGCTTGCTGTTTCTCCTGGTTTATCTTTGCAGAAAGAAGAGGAATTGCAATATGCAAAGCCCTTGGGCGGAAACAAGAAAAACACTGTTTCCCTAGATGCCAAGCCCATTTTACTGCTAAGAATAGCCTTCATCTCTGGGAGGAAAGGCAGAAGACCTCTCTCCCAGCTGATTTTAAAGGGGCAGCACCCTTTACAAGGAAGGCTGTGAGCCTTGTCTTTCCTCAAGGGAGGGACTTCTGGGTCACAAAGGCTGAGAGTGGGGGAATGTAGGAGGAGAGAACTTGAGTCCACAGCACCAGGCAAAGGAGGTGAGAGAGGAGGCAAGAGGGAATGAAGGGGAAGAGAAGGAACACGACACAGGAACCCCTGTCATGCCCTGAGCCCTGGCTGCCTCAGCTCACGCACACTGACAGAGTCGTCAGACCACTGGGTGGCCCTGGGGCAGCAATGGAGCCAGCTGGGGCTCTAGGCAGTGGAGCCCCAACTCTGGCTGTATATGCAGAACACGGGGGGGGGGGGGGGGAGCAGATAACCAGACCTCTGGCTAGGATGTATGCTCACACAGAAGCTCTCTTCCCCACTCCCAACCCCCTGCTACTCAGAGGTTAGAGACCCAAACCATCTCTCTAAAATGCAAGTTTTCTTTCTTGAAAGTGCTGCACTTCTCTCAGAGCAGGAAGTACAAATGTTCCTAAAATGTTAGGTCAGAGCATAGGCTTACTTTCAAGACCGGGGTAAAAACGTCAAAATGGATTCCCTTTCCTTTGTGAACTAAAACCAAAACAGATTTGTACAGTTAGCTGCACTGCAGAGAGCACTAAATACCCTCCAGGAGACTGAGTCACTTCAGTGCTCTGTTCTGCCCGTGCCCACTGGTCCTTTCTCTTACCTCTCTTCCCTCCTCTGGCTCTCTCCTTTCCTCTTGCCACGGGCTCAGTCTGATGTCTTTGCAGGCTCTGGCTTCCTTGCCCCACTCATCCTTCGTGTCCCTCCTGGATCTGCTTCCTTGACCAGAATGCCCACGGGGAAGGAAGGGAAAGCTAAGGTTGCCAGTGGCTGCTCAGGACTCCCAAATGTCTGATGCCCTGCAGCTTCTCACATGGCAAATGGATATCCCACAGAATTTGAGGAGAAGTCTCTTTCATTAATCAACACTCAGTCTTCAAACCACCTCTGAAAAAACTGCTAGACAGATGACAGCCCATAAATTGTGTTCTCTCTTATCTCAAATAGCCCTTGCTCACTTCTACCATGGAAAAGTATTTTAGTGACTCAAGAGTCAATAGGCGCAGAAGGGCCTTGGCAGGCACTACATGCATACAAATAATGGTTATTCATCACAAGTCAAAGTGGCTCATAAATAACTGAAACTGGCCCAGTTCTGCTTCTGTTAAATAAAAGGAAAAAACCCACAAACATAAAAAAATAAATAAAAGAGGAACACTCTGCAGAAGATGTAATTTCTCTGAATTGCTATAGCGACATAAATTGTAGCAATTTCCAAATTTTCCCTGGAGAAGACATGATTTCAAGAGACCCGCTCCGGCGGCTCCAGCTGTGGGTCTGGGCTGCCCGAGACCAGCAGAGGGCGGACTTCAGTTATAGACGGAAGCCTGGAGCGGATGGTGAGGAAAGGGCAATCTAGGATTCCAAGGTTAACTACTTATTCCGTGCTGTGCGAACCCCCAGATGTCATAGCCCAAGATTCTTGATAGGAAAGGAGATTTCAGGAAATCAGTTCTAAGCAGGTATGACACTATTGTAAATGTTCCTTTGTTTATCAGATGAAACCTGCACAGAAAAGGCTGGTTCTGAGTACGTTCCCTGGGCGCTGCAAGCTGCTAGGTAATGAGTCACTGCAGTGACTAGTCCCCAGTCTAGAGTCACTCAAAGCTGCATATTGTTTAGCGTGGAGATATTTGGGCTTTGCACCTGAAAAGCAGTTGTTTTGTCCAGGACCTAGTGAAAAAGTTCCTGCTGTTGGTCATTTCGTTTTGTTTGTTGAATACAGAGAAACCTATTCCCTGGGAAACAGAGCTAGGAATGAGCATCATTACAAATGTTTCCCTATGTTTTGAGCCAGCCTAGCAACTCCACTTCTAGATATATAACCAAAAGATTTGAAAGCATATGTCCACACAAAAGCCTGTTGGTGGCTGTTCATAGCAGCATATTCATCACAGTGGATTCTGAACCATCCGCTGGCTGATGAATGGACAAACAAAATGTGATATATCCACACAATTGAATATTATTCAGTCAAAAAGGGATGAAATACTGATACATGTTACAACATGAATAAACCTTGAACACTGCATGCTGAGAGGAATCAGTTGCCAAGGGCCATATATTGTATGACGCCATTTATACGAAATGTCCCGAATAGGCAAACCCATAGAAATGAAGACTAAATTAATGGTTTCCAGAGGCTGGATAAAGGGAGGACTGGGGAGTGCTGTCAATGAACATGGGATTTCTTTTGGGGGTGAGGAAAATGTCCTGAAATTAGTGGTGATGTACACCTCTGCAAATATACTAAAAACCACTGGATTGTACACTTGAAACTGATGAATTATATCTCAATAAAACTGTTAGTAAAATTTTTTTTTGGCCAGGACAGATGTTACCGAGGGAAACTCAGAGCAGGAAATAAGAAAAATATAAAAAGCATGTTTGACTTCTGGGAGAGCCAGTTCCAACCCTGAGCAAAAAAAAAAAATTTTGGATGAAAACAGTAGATTTGTACAGACCAGAAATAGAGGTGTCCAAACTCAGTGTAGGAAGCAAGAAGAATTATCTGCAGAGGTGAACTGATCCTGCATCTCCTCCAACTGACTGACTTGTTAGGGGTTGACACCTCTCTGATTGTGCAAGCATGGTTACACAGGAGCTATTTCATTCAAGGCAACAGGGACAGGGTTGTGTTGATGTCATGGTGACCCCCTGAGCAGAAGGAAATAAGGAGAATCACACTCTCCAAGCCACAGTAACAAGAAAGCCTTCCTAAGCTCTTAGGAACTGGCAAGAAAGGAAGGTGATAATAAGTCAGCAGCTCAGCTGCTGAGGGCCTCATGGTCACATCTGAGTTCCAGGTATATTATCAGTAAAGCCCACAGAATCTAGAAGCTCATCCTCTTTTACTCCTGTACCACACAGCACCTTGCAGAGACTGAGCCCATGAGAGCCCTTCAAATACTTGGAAAAAGTGGAGGAATGAAGAAATAGATGAGTACACAACTGAAAACACTGAGCTGACAGGAGCCACCATCAAGTCAACACATCAGAGAGGAAGTGTCCCTGAGTGAGAAACTCGAGGAGAAATGATATGAATGATATGATTTGTTTGTTCTTTATCAGAACCATCTGTTCACTGATCACCAGGCCTTCCTTGTTGAGTCCTGAAGCATTAGCAGGGCAAGATCACAGGCACCTGTGAGTATGCCCTTCTAGTATGGCATGCATGGTCATCTTTCTTTCCTTACCTTCATCCACCCTGGGCAGGAACTATAATACATTAATATTACTGTGTGCTAATGAGTCAAGAGTTGTTTCATTTCTAAGATGCACCATAAAGAAGCTCTGTGAAAGTGTATGCCTTTTAAATTTGTGTTTACAAAAAAAAAGGCGCCACACTTTTCTGTTCTGTAATTGCTTATGGTGACCAGGGAGAACAATGATACTGGAGTATGATAAAACATTTTCCAATCCTGTGTTTTTCTCCAAGTCTGGTCCTCTGGGTGAATGTTACGCATTTTAGGGAACTGGGGACTATGTCTAACTATGTATTACAAAACCTGCTTAATTATAGATTCAGCCAAGAGATGGGAACTCAGTAGCTAATTATGTAGCCAGAGCTTCAAGAGGGCTTTGGAGCCAGAGCTCATAACACTCCCAATTATGCAGTAAATATGGGGCTAAGAAAAAGTGGCCAAACACCAATTAGTTTTAATACATTATATGAGGTTAGTGGTAGAAAGAATTAGATTTTGGAGTTGGTCAGATTTGAATGTAACACATGGCCATTTTCCTCAGTTCCTCTGTTGGTAAATGTGTACTGATCACCATCCATGTACCAGGCACTGTATTAGGCGTTGATGACAGAAGCACAAATGAGAGAGCTCCTTAGGGAGCTTATAGTCCCAACAACTACACAGAATATCTGTTTTCTTAAAAACGTTGCTAGACCTCTCTGATTTAGATCTGTAAAATGGAAAAAACAAAGACACCTACTTTGAAAGTTGTAATAAGGATGACATTGAATAAGGTAAACAAAGTACCTCAGATACTGCATTTAAAAGTTTGTGCTTCTCTTCCCCTTATATACACCCACTTGGTGTCATTTTATCATTTGCTACAGCATGCTCCTTCCTCTCATTAAATATTCCTAGCTTAATGTGAGTCCAAATGGGTCACGGCCTTGAATGGAAACCCCAAAGCAAGCCCATAAGGAAACAGTATGTGTTGGACTTGGGAATACAGGGGTTGGCATCAGAAAGATCTTCATTAGAAACCAACTCTGCCACTTGTGATTTGGGGCAAGTTATTTAACCTCTCCAAGCTTCAGCTCCCTCCTCTGTGAAGTGAGGCTAACGGCCCTATCCTCACAGAGTTGTTAGGAGGTTAAATGAGATACTATATGTAAAACACCTAGCCCAGCATCAGGTATATAATGTGCTTAGTAAAAGTGTTATTATTTGTTTGTCTTACTCTTAGAATATCCATTTTTAGGGCTGACACTGGTCTTGAACCTCATCTTACCAGCTGGGAAACTGAAGTTTGAAGCAGCGTGGGTAGAGTAGAGGTTTTCACACGGTGGTCAGGGCACCTCAGGATTCCGAAGACACGGCTCCCGGCCACACTAGGAGATTTAAAGCGGAGGCTCAGAGGCTGTGGCTCCAGAGCCACACCCTCCCCTGTCCTCCTCGCCTCCCCAACTCAGAGCAGCATCCTTTTTACTTGCCTTACAGAAGGAGAGTGCGTAGGTTTTAATGGAAAAAAAAAAAGGCTCTGCTGGTTTTTTTTTAGCACTTAAAAATTACCAGAACAGCTGGATGAGCAGAAAAAACCTTTCTTGTCCAAACACTCTGGAGTTTCTAAGTTCAAAGATTGGCTCCGGATGTATTTTTTAGAGATTTCATTGCTTTTATGAACACACTCACCGATCAACCCCTAATTACAAATACTCGCTCTGCTGCCCCTAATCTGATTACTAACTACGCGTTTTGAGGGCTGTAACGACCTGGAAATGAGCTTGTCTGGTGATCCTGCTCCAGCGCGTTGTGCCCGCAGGGAAGAATATTTGCAGCAGCGTTCATCTGTCCACCAGGGATTTTATTTATTTATTTTATTTTAAATTGCAGGCATTTGTTTCAACCACTTGGGAAAAACAGTTCTAGAATCGTCCGCAGCCCTGGCGGCACAACAGCGCCCTCATTTATGCTGCCGCTTTGTTCATTCTGCAGCGCCTTTTAAATTCCCCGCACTGCGGCGAGCAGCTATGCAGATGCGAGCTCACGTCCCCTCCTGCACGTTTTGCTTTTCCAGCAGGCAGAGTTGCCTCTGAACGCCAGCGATCTTTGGCTTGGCCACTGCAGTCGGGGCTGAGCCAGGCCTTCCTAGGACACCCCAGCCCTTGCTGGCACGGACTACTTCACACGTACTTAATGTAGCTGCTTCGCCCACAGTAGAGCAAGAGCAATTTTCCTTTACAAAGAACTGGCTTGGACTTCCATCTAAAATACATGAGTGATAAAAGCAGAGAAAGATAAATCAGCATTTTCTACTCACTGTAGGTCAGAAAGGGTCAAGAACTTGCTGCCAGGTGCTTAAAGTCAGAATATAGGATGGGGAAGGTGAACACTGATTTAGGACCTGTTATATGTCACAATGAGTGTTCTCTTCCACATTTGATCCTTATAAAAAGGCTCCTAGGTAGGTACCCTGTTTCCTGTTTGTTGGAGGAATAAACTGAGGCTTGGAGAGGT